GTAAATATCACTCACAGCTCATATACATGGAAACCAGAATAAGCTAAAAGTCTAAGCAAATATCACTCATAGTTCATATACATTAAAAGCACTAGAAAAGAAGCAAGATTTCAAGATCGAGATATAACTCTTTAGTTACATATATAAAAGACGTGACTTTTCTCTAGGGAATATCATCATGACTCGAAGACATTGTGTCAGATTCTATCTGGAACTACTTTTCTACGTTTATCTAAACACTACGAGGTACTTCTAACATACAGAAGTCATTTAATTATTTCATTAATAAAAGAATAAAATATATTGTACTGTTTGAATGGAATTGTAAACACACAAAACAAACAAGAAATTCACAGAAACAAATCAGTGTTAAACTTTCAGAAATTCTAATTGATATATAATTATACCAACTTGATGGCTTTGAAAATCAAGTATTTAGATATGATGGTTAATTTACATAAATATTAAAAGCTCAATGTGCTTTATGTGCCTCAATAAAATACATGATGCTGCCATTAAAAGGCAATGTACGAAATAAAAACAGCTATGGGAATGAGAGAAATTAACTGCTATATTACATACACTGTTTTTATTTTGTTTCGAAGGGAAAATTTGTATGAGCCACGATAACTAGCAGGAAAATTGGTTAATAAGTTGTTGTTGTTTTTTTCCCACAGATTTAACCGCCGACATATTTAGTACTGATAACGTCATCAATTAAGGTTTTAAAAAGAAATCTTTATCTTTACAGTTATGTTTTAAAATTTCATCTACTAAAGCACAGAATGCGTGATAAAGGAAATATCTTGTTTTTTCCTTCAACAATAATTGTTTATTATTTTCAAATGGATACTCTTTTACTTCTCGCCTACAATTATTTGAAGATCAACGTTATGAGAACAAACTGTAACTTGTTTGTGTACAAACTAAGTCACCTAGAGAATGGATGTCCAGTGAAGTATATAATTTCCCCTTGAAACACCGTTTTTAAAACCGGTTTTAATATCGTCACTAGCTATAATTCTAAGTATAAACAAAACATTGAAGTTTATGTACATAGAAGATACAAATAACTATATGAGAGGAAACTGAGACAGAATACTATTGGATTTAAATATAAAAATCACTTATATATATATATATATAAGAAACATACTTTATAATGTTTAGAGTTATAAAGTTGTCCCTCTAAACTATTTTTATTACCGACTCAGCAAGGAAATAATTAACTTTACTTTCCGTTAAACAGCCAATGAAATCATAACTTTCGTTCGTTGATTGTTTCTCGTAAGAGAAGACTATACTTAAACAACTTATACGAATGTTTCTAAGATGTGTGAGAAATGAAGCCACTTCTCTACTCATTAGTCTTAGTTAATCAGTGGTAAGAGCCACGAAGTGTGAAATGGAATCCATCTTGGAGTGAAATCGTGTTCGGTTCTCCCAATCATTTCCGCCACTTCTTGTTTTATTATCTCTATGAATATTTCTGTCGTGACTTGTTTCTTGTAACTAACTATTTACGCACTGAATATCTTAAGAGCAAAATTTAGAATATCATGAAAAATAAGGACATGACCTTTTGGCCAAGGTAAAGCAGGAAAGTCATTGGTTAGGTTGTAGAGCGTTTAATTATTAACAAACATATAAAATAGTCTTTATCCTATAGAAACAAAAGGCTTGACATAGTGGGACCATCTAAAAAGTGTACAAAGTTTAAAACGAATAGATATTTGAATTCACAGACTTACACATTTTCAAGAAGAGACATAGCATATTACGAACCCAAAAATGCCATGAATTATCAGCAGATATTTTAGTCAAGAAAACGGTACCTAGTGATCATTTTGAAAATTATTTAATGGCACACTTTCTTTTGGAATGTTAGGGGTAAACCACCTAGTTTTGCTTTCCCGTCGCTCTTTGTTAAAGTAGGTAAATTGTTGATGACCCATAAGGTCACGTAAGAAGTGGAGACCGAGTTAAAATACACAAGTAGGGGAAAAGTTGATGTTTCACCTTAAGGTTAAAGTATTTATAGATGTTAGAAGCTCCATCTTCAGAAGATATAAAAACTCTCCAACTCCTTTTTCTTTTCTGAGTTATCTTTGTTCTGTCCTTGTTAGCAAGCTGCTTGTTTAGCCGGTGTGATTAACAGTGGTTTCGACTTACCCTTGTAAGATAGGTAAGTAGTGAAACTGAGAAATTATAAAGACCAAAATTCACCCCAAAATAATTTCGAAATAGATAAAAATTTCGTAATTAAGTGTATATCTGTTCTAATGAGTTATAAGAATGATCATTCATTGTGATTTATTAATATTCGGAAATTTAAAGAACATAAATTGTGAATTTTATTATGTGAACGAAGAAACCTAGAGAGTTTACGGTCGTAGGTAAGGAATAAAAGGACAGGATAATCCGAGATAGACCAAGTAAGGAAGAAGTCAGGATATTTATATGTTTCGAAAAAAAAAGTTAAACACGTACAGTTCTTCTAGGTGTACAATTAATGAATAGTAAACATGTTGCGCTTTTCGCATTCTTAGAATAATAGAAGATTGAAAAATTACTGTTTGTATAATGAATAATCCGAGAGAAAGTTAAGATGTTTATATAAGTAAGGAAGATAAACAGAAAGAAAGAATGGATTTTTCCAAGTAGAACTGATGAATAGAGCGATATACAAGATGTTTATATGAGTAAGGTAGATAAACAGAAAGAAAGAATGGATGTTTCCAAGTAGAACTGATGAATAGAGTGATATTCAAGATGTTTATATAAGTAAGGTAGATAAACAGAAAGAAATAATGGATGTTTCCAAGTAGAACTGATTAATAGAGCGATATTCAAGATGTTTATATAAGTAAGGTAGATAAACAGAAAGAAATAATGGATGTTTCCAAGTAGAACTGATGAATAGAACGATAATCAAGAAGTTTATATAAGTAAGGTAGATAAACAGAAAGAAAGAATGGATGTTTCCAAGTAGAACTGATGAATAGAACGATATTCAAGATGCTTATTGGTGAAAAGTCGACTAAGGGACAATCAGTATGTTTATATAAATGGAACAGCTAAATATAGGGATAGTCAGAGTGTTTATATAAATGAAACAGCGAAATACAGGTATAGTCAGAATGTTTATATAAATGGAACTGTTAGATAAAGGGACAGTCATGTTACTTATATAAATGAATTAACAGATAAACAGTCATGGTACTTATATAAATGGATTAATAAAGAAACAGTCATGGTACTTATATAAATGGATTAATAGAAGAACAGTCATGGTACTTATATAAATGGATTAATAGAAGAACAGTCATGGTACTTATATAAATGGATTAATAGAGAAACAGTCATGGTACTTATATAAATGTTATAACAGATAAACAGTCATTGTACTTATATAAATGGATGAATAGATGAACAGTCAGAGTGTTTATATAAATGGATGAATAGAGGAACAGCCAGATTGTTTATATAAATGGATGAATAGAGGAACAGCCAGATTGTTTATATAAATGGATGAATAAAGGAACAGTCAGAGTGTTTATATAAATGGATGAATAGAGGAACAGCCAGATTGTTTATATAAATGGATGAATAGAGGAACAGTCAGAGTGTTTATATCAATGGATGAATAGAGGAACAGTCAGATGCAATATATTGTAAAATCTTAATACATCCCTAATAAGAGCTGGAACAGCGAATCTAATTAATGAGCACAATTGGAACATATTGTAGTTATGTTCTGCGAAAAGAATAAAATACCTTTACCGAAACCATAACATTAACTAAGAAACGTTCTGCATTGTTTTGAAAAAAATATATTTATTATAAGCTCAGACTAAACGTGTGGAAGTCAAACCTTCATTAAATTTACTTTACTTAAAGTAATTGTCTTGTTGGTTTTTTATTTCTTTAGATTAAATGTTGCATTTGGACTTTAGTTCATAAAACGATTTATTATAAGCTAACATTTCTAAATCACACGCGTTTCTTCTTTAATTAAAGAACTGTTAACTTTTTCTATCATGAACTCTAAAAAGTTTTTTTTTGTATAATCGTCAATTATTAATTTTAGATGACTTGTTATTTGCTAGTGATGTATAGCAATTTTGAAACTTGGCACACACACAGAGAGAGTTATATATATTAATCAAAGTCCTATTAAATTTTTATTTTGTTTTTAATTAAACATAATTACTTAGAATATTCATGGTTCAGTTACTATTTAATATATATAATCGTTCTTTACGATTTTAAACAACGTGTGATCTAAATTGACAATGTTTTTGTATTTTACTTCAAGTTTTGAAATATCAGGATCTGGAATGATGAGAAGTTACCGCTTTATTTCCTTTCTCAGGCGATAATTAAAACTCCAAACAAACAATACTTTATAACTAAAACCTCAAACAAACAATACTCTATAACTAAAACCCTAAACAAACAATACTCGATAATTAAAACCCAAATCAAACAATACTCGGTAATCAAAACCCTAAACAAACAATACTCAATAAAGCAAAACCCTAAGTGAATAATACTCGATAATCAAAACTTAAACAAACAATTCTCGGTAATTAAAACCCTAAACAAACAATACTCTATAATTAAAACCCTATAAAACAATACTCGATAATCAAAACCCTAAACAAACAATACTATATCTGTCGTTTATATAAGTATTAAGAGATGATGAGAATAGCTTTTTCTTAAAATATAGGACCACTTAAACTATCGGCTTGTAAACAAAATAGGGCCACTAATTGTTTATAAGACGATAGTTATGATAATTTTTACTGTGTAAAGGAAACCAATACCTTGAACAACCATAAGACATTAGGTACCAATCCTTTCTTTCAACAATAATCTTTATTGTTTTTTTTATTTTTAATTCTAGTAGTTAAGGATATCATGAATGTTTTTATTCATAATTTTTGTTTTGAACAAGATCTCTTTTTATTTGTTTTTTTATTATTATCTTTAGAATGAGGACAAAGACGTTGTTGACCGTTCTTTTAGTGGGCGTTATCTTGGCTAGTACGACACTAATTCCTGTTGCTGGGGGACTTTTGAAACTGAAGAAACTTCTTCTACTGGGGGCTCTTCTAAAACCCCCAAAGAAGATTATTTTGCCAATTCCGATTCCCATTCCTGAGTAAGAAAATATTCCGCATTGTTTGTTTTCTATTATTTCGACTGACTATAGATTTAAGAAGAATAACAATCATGCTCACATGTTTACAAAAATATCTTATATTTAAACACGATATCAATCGGTTATGATACTTTAATATTGGGCTTAACAAAATTAAGCAACGTAGCTTTTTTGTTTTTGAATTTTTGGGCAGAGGTACACAAAGACTTATATGCCTTCCTTCATCTTTAGCTATTAGATTAGATTGAATGCAAGTTGTCAACAGAAACCGCCGCCAACTGTTGGACTACTCTTGTCTGACCGAATAGTGTTGATTTGACAGTCACTCTTAGAGTTGATCCAAAGTACGGATAGCAACGGGGCGCAAACCATAAATCCTATGACTCACAGTTCAGGCACGTTAATCAATAGGCCACGCCCGGTCCCACTAAAATAAATTATACAAAACTTTTGCTGACTAGTTTATACGGTTGTTCAAATACAAAAAGATTTCTGAAATTATAACCAAAATTATATTGTAAGAAGATTTCATTGAAAATCTCCTACAAATCACTGTATTATATAAATGGACGAATAGAGGGAGAGTCAGTTTGTGTAAAAAAAACATTGCGTTCAATAGGAAGGAATGATTCTAAAGATCAGTTTGTTTGTAATTAAGCACAAAGCTACACAATGGGCTATCTGTGCTCTGCCTACCACGGGTATCGAAACCCGGATTCTAGTGCTGTAAGTTCACAGACATACCGCTCTGCCACTGGGTGGGTCTAGAGACTAGAACAAATTGATTTATCTTCATATATAATAATATAGGTTATCAAGAGAAGAGACGTATTTTCATAATTATTTTTCTTCTTGACATCTGTAATGTAATAAACTTACACTGTGTCATTTCTTTTGTTCACCCCATAATGTGGAGGATAAGTTTGTTTCGGATATTCGGGTAAAGTAACACAAGATTAGAAGAAAGGCAACTAGTCGAAAGTACCCACCGCCACTATAATCAAATAGTGGGTTCGAACTGTCACTCTTATAACGCACCCTAGACTCGAAAGTAGGAAGCTTCGTTTGTTCTTGCAGCAACGCGAACCATGGATCCTTGTATCCACAATCCGCCAGGCTAGCCTACACCATGTCTAGTGATAAAGTTATTTACAGTATGTAACACCTATGATGACGAAGCGTGATCTATGGGTTGGAAGTATGTTAGAATTAATATCAGTCTTATTGTAACGTAATATCACAAACTAACTATATATCAAACTTTACCAGCTAGAGTGTCATAAACCATGTGAGTTGATATCTCATAAATGATAACTAGAAAAATAACGTATCAACTGAGGCTTTGTTTTGTCTGCTTAGCTGACATGATATGTTCTTATATTGAACGAAACGTCTCGTGTGATTTAAATATTAATATATTCTAGTAAAGGACTAGTAAAATAACTTGTATTGTTATATAATATCAGACAATCTATCAGTATATATATGTTCTTGTACCTTTTATAAACCTAAATCTAATTTACTGAGAATATTGCAGGTTGGTTAAAAATTATCAAAAACTATCTATAGATCTCAGTTTAATAGTTGTTGCAGACCACGTCAATAAATAAAATTATTAGTTAGAAATTATCATCAGACGTGTTGTGATGTAAAACAACACAAGCTACCGAGCTTTGCTATATATATATATATTCATTTATATTGTTGTTTTATGAACTTAAATGGAATATACTGAGGATATCGCAATTTGGTTAAAATACTCTATACAAACATGCTATAGTTACAGTTATTATTATCATACTAGAAGGAAGGAGACTTTGTTATTCTTTTGGTAGCTTCATTTAACTTTTCATTTTCTCCTGTAGGATGAAAACGGAATACGGCAGCAGCATGATGACTGGCTATGGTGGGGGTGGTTTCGGAGGAGGAGGTGGTTATGGTATGATGGGTGGTTTTGGTGGAGGTGGTTATGGTATGATGGGTGGTTTTGGTGGGGGCGGTTTCGGAGGAGGAGGTGGTTATGGTATGATGGGTGGTTTTGGTGGGAGTGGTTTCGGAGGAGGAGGTGGTTATGGTATGATGGGTGGTTTTGGAGGAGGCGGTTTCGGCGGAGGAGGTTTCGGTGGAGGTGGCTATGGAATGATGAGTGGTTTTGGAAGTGGAGGATATGGAATGTCTGGAGGATTCAGCGGCGGAAGTGGGGGTTTTGGAGGTGGAGGTGGCGGATACGGGATGTCTGGAGGATTTGGTGGAGGTGGCGGATACGGAATGATGATGGGCGGAGGGGGCGATTAACAGTAATGTAATAAATTTAGTTATAAACGTATTCATTATTCAATCAGTATTGTAACATGGATATTAGATATGAGCTCTTATAATAGAGCTGTTGTTATTCCAGCCCGTTATGTGATAATGAAAGAATCATGGCTAACATTTTGTAGTCTGTAATGCGAGTTCTACCTACTTCATTTTCATTTATCAAATACTCGTGTTATATTGTTGTTGTTTATATATGTAGGCCTACTCATGTAAAATATGTAACTAAAATAAAGTGTCTTGTCCAATATTTTTCTCCAAAACCGATAGCACTGTTATGAAATATGAAAATTATTTCAAAAATGGAAAATCAGGTACGAGTTTATAAACATCTCACATAGGGAAGAAGTAAACAATATTCAGTAATATCAAGTTGTATTTTGTTTTCTTTTTTAACACATGAGATCTATTCAGAGGCATTGTTATCATGGTCGTTAAAATAAATCATATATATATCAAGTCATCAATATGTTTAGGCACTTGTGTACGTTTCTGGTTTACGGTACATCTCTTGATTAACTAACAAAATATCAGAGAAATTATCATCCCACAGTTTTTATTATTTGTAACGATATAAAGTTTATAATATCGTGCATAGGTACAAATCATTCAGACGTAACACTTATTAAGCTGTTGGTGTCTCAATGTTAGGTTGTTCGAAAAGGAATCAAATGTAAATACTAGAAAAATAATTTGAAAATGTGCAAAGAAGAAAATAGAACATTTTTAAAAAGTAGTGATAAGAGAAGAGTAATATACTTGGAAAAATTTGCCGAAAAATGCAGGATGAAATGAGTAGTAATTAAAAAAGGCAACAAAGAACCTTATAGTGATGCCTTACGTTAAAAGGCAGGAAAATAAGAAAAATTGTTTATGAGGTTGTCAAGCAAAATAATTTCACTTCAAGTAAAAAGTGGTTTTGTAAAATTGAAAATTAAAATTATTTCAAATACTATTCTGAAGGTGTGTGTGTAAAGATTTAACAAATGTTAACCATATTTATATCAAGAAATGATATAAAGTATATTTTAAATAATAACATTCTTGAAGAAAGCATTCAGAGACCAATATTTTCTCTCCTTTAAAATTAAGAAAAAACAGGAAGAAATGGAGAAAATGGAGTGAGAAAGTTCAATAAATGTTGAAAATATAAGAAACAAAGGATAGATATTGTATATTTTAGTTTGGTAAAAATAAAATTGTCATCTGACAAAAAATAACAATATAATGATTAGTACAAGGAATGTGTAAACAGGACAATACAGAAGAAAAGACGTCATTAAGTCATGAAATGTGTCATGTGTATATTACTATGTGTGTGACAACCAATGGTTACAGTTATAAATATTTCAATAATTAAGAAGAGTTAATTGTTTATCATAATTTTTAATTACTTGAGGTATTAGAGTGATTGGAACATATACTTCAGAAAGCACGTGTTTAAGGTATTGATGTAACAAAAGGAGATTATTAATATACGTGAAAGATCTTGAAAAATATAGTTATTAGGGTACTTTATAAAATATCTAATCTTAATTCATATTAACTAAGGTAAAACATGAGGTTTAATGGATAGGAAATACCTCCTGGTATAAGCTGAAATAAAGGTATTACGATAGAAATAAAAGTTACTTGAATTTTCAAAATTAACATCAATATATAATTTCCAAAGAAATAAGAATATTTCACTATAACATAACAAATACAAATACTAGACACATTTTTCCCTTTCTTAAGTATTATTTCTAACTAATATTTTGCCTGTCTCCGAAGTTAGACATACGAACAAAATGGAGTAATCAGATAATATTTTGCCTGTCTCCAAAGTTAGACATACGAACAAAATGGATTAATCAGATAATATTTTTGCTTGTCTCCAAAGTTAGACATATGAACAAAATGGATTAATCAGATAATATTTTTGCTGTCTCCAAAGTTAGACATACGAAAAAAATGGATTAATCAGATAATATTTTGCATGTCTCCAAAGTTAGACATACGAAAAAAAATGGATTAATCAGATAATATTTTGCCTGTCTCCAAAGTTAGACATACGAACAAAATGGATTAATCAGATAATATTTTGCCTGTCTCCGAAGTTAGACATACGAACAAAATGGATTAATCAGATAATATTTTGCCTATCTCCAAAGTTAGACATACGAAAAAAATGGATTAATCAGATAATATTTTGCCTATCTCCGAAGTTAGACATACGAACAAAATGGATTAATCAGATAATATTTTGCCTATCTCCAAAGTTAGACATACGAACAAAATGGATTAATCAGATAATATTTTGCCTGTTTCCAAAGTTAGACATACGAACAAAATGGATTAATCAGATAATATGTTTGCTTGTTTCCGAAGCTAGACATACGAACAAAATGGATTATTCAGATAATATTTTGTCTGTCTCTAAAGTTAAACATACGAACAAAATAGTGATTTTTAAAATATTATGGTATCAAGAAATGTAGAAATGAATTCTCTTCGTTTGTAGCTATTTCAATTATTTTTATTTTTCCTTCCATAATGGTATCAACTCTTTTTTTTACTCTCCCCCTAAAGTATTAGCAAAATGTCGGATCCACTACCACCAATAGCAAGGGAATAAATGCGCCTACGAAGCGCCTTTGAACTTTGGGCCTAATTAGATATTTCTAGGCGCTGCGAATACTAGGCAATTAAAAGAACAATGTGTCTCAGTCGGTCCGTGCGTGTATGCGTGCTAGCTCACCTGGAAAACCTATTTTCCTACTGGCTAACTGTAAAGTGGTACTCTTTTCAAAACCAGACTCAAAACTTGAGCGCTGTGGTAGTTTTACCTTTATACGAGTGCAAAACTACGACATTTTAAACATTACTTCAGTGATACATACAAAAAATGCAACTAAACACATTAAATTAATTCTTTACTTTTCCGTGGTTTATAAATAACATAATACCATTATATCTCAATATAAATTCTAACAGGCGCCTAAAAATCGACAATTAGGCCTAAAGTTTAAATACGCTTTATACGCGAAGAACTAGTTTACCTGTTACTGTACTTAGCCTTAATAGTTTACCTGTTACTGTACTTAGCCTTAATAGTTTACCTGTTACTGTACTTAGCCTTAATAGTTTACCTGTTACTGTACTTAGCCTTAATAGTCACTGCCACAACTTTATTCATTTTCGATACTTTACAGCTAACACATTTTGTGAAAGAAAATACTTATAGGTTTCAGATGATATAAAAATGAGATTTAGAAAGGCATACACACGAAAATGTTGCAAAAAACAAACAAACATGGTGACAGTTGATTTTTAAGTTCTTGATACCACAATTTAAAAAATTCACTATCTTATAATCGTTATACGTTTTCAAATATCTCAACTTAAGGAAGATAAATTTTGTTTATGCCGTTTTCAAAATCATACTAAAGTATGTATGGAAACCTATACAAAATGCAGTACATAATAATCTAACAATACGAATTAACTATAAAAACACTTGAGTCTAATCTATATGTTACATTGTTTATTTTCTAAGTGTGGATACTGCTTAAGAAATAAGTACTAAAGTATTAGAATTTACAAGATTTTTAATAGCTTGAAAAATGTTCGTATACACTACTTCTAATCCTGGTGTGACACACATAACTATAAAGATCTACATTTGGCAAAACAGAGTTCATTCTTATTCAATAATGATGTCAGTTGCTATAAATTCAAGTACATCATAAGTTATGAACTTAAACGTGAAAGGCCACGATTTTTAGAGTTAAAAGCAAAAACCTTTCTACACTGTATGGCATATCACAGTAGTTGGATTTCAGAAATTGATCTCATCTTTACTCTCCAAATAGCTTTTGTTTTAAAATATTGGTATTTGCAACCTTAACGACGTTTTATGCAACACGTATACGACCAGGTCAGAAACTTCAAGATTCAATCATAAATATGTCCACTTTACAACTATTGACCAGGTACCGAATAAAAGGATTGGTTGTCAATGTAACATCACTCCTATAGCTTCTAATCTGTCTTGTAATCTGTACAAATATGTAACATTTGATAATAAGACACTAGCCTACTGTGTGAGCTAAATAAATATTACAGCTGGAGTACCCGTCCATTGAACGGGTTAAATAAACATTTGTTTGTAACAAAGAATAGGAAATTGTGCTTCTATTTTTTCTTAACATAATAAATATTAAAAGTGCAATAAAAATACATACTGAAACACATAATATTTTTAATAATTCTATCAATATGAAATTAGATGGGGAATCAATCCCCTCTTATTACCTTTCTCGTGTCATCCTGTGTCCAGTTTGGGGTTGATTCGTCAAGAAATGTGGAAACGTATGAGGAACAGATGTGAAATGACAGATATATGACCATGTATTTTTTCTCGGACACACACTTTGATTTATGTGCTAGATATAGATCTGAAAGAAATGGTCTACTCAATATTTGCAGCTTTCTCTTTTAGCATTCTGGAGTTTGAGGCAGCGTACGTGGGGATCAAGGGGGCTCTCCTAAAGCTATATCATTTCAAGCTTATTACACAGTAAAAGGATGAAAAGAAAATCACTTTGAACATGCTTTCTACAACTCTATATTTTATCTTTAGAAAGGAAAATCCAAACAATGTTTATTAATAGAGATGAGATTTGAGATATATAACTTTGCAAGTTTCTGCTGCAGATCAATAATGTTGCCCATATAACCAGGACACATTGGTTGGAAATATTGACGAAAAGAAAGAGAAGCTTTCAATTTTCAAATAACTTCGAAAAGTTCCCTTGTCTAAAGTGATAAGTAGACATTTGCATTCTAAACTTTATTTTGTTAACAACGTGTTTTATTTAAAGGAATGATCGACCGAAAATAAATTGAAAACTAAACACAACCATATTTATTATACAAAAATAATTAATTCCCTTTCTTGGTTAATAGAATTTAGTTTCAGTATTTACCTGCTTCTT